TCCGAACCGCTTACGTTATTGCATGGTTCTGAAAGTTGTGTGGATCGTCAAGAATGTTGAGGATCATGTTTTTCGCTTGTGACATTTGCAGGGGCTGATAATTTTTGGCTGATTTGGGCTGGAGATGCGTATGAAGTGCTCTGCATCGCATTGAAAATAAGACGGAGGGGTTGTTGAGCCCTTACAGTAATCGCAATGACGAACCTACGCATACGACGAAGCCTGTCTCCAACGTGTGAGAAACCGATGGTTAATCCGCGTGTAAGAATTTCTCCAGCAGAAACGAGGCGAGGTCGATCAGCTAGTACTCTGCCCTGCTTCTCCATTATGTCCACTGCAGCCTGCCACGGAGTGTTGAATTGGAAATGAAACTATGATAAAGGAACTGACTTTGTGGCGGCCGATAATCACGATGTTCTGCATTCCTGAGCGAATAGTGATCAGAGGGCCATACTCGTCGATCCACCGCGCTACAGTAAGGCATGGGCTGATCATAAATGTGATACAATTAGCATACAAAATGAGGTCGCAGGATATGAAACCTCACAGGCGAGGGGGCAGGAGGTGTCCCCGAAGTCTCCATGTGGGAGGAGAAGGTGGGAGAGGAAGGCGATTATCTGATTTACGAAGGTAAGCCCAAACAATCGCACTTAATATTACCCCAACACAAGCTACACCATCGAAGGTGAGCTGCATGCTATCAGAAATGCGCAGGTCAGAGAGCTGTAGCATGACGGAGTGAGGAGTCACGGTGGAGAGAGATAGGACCTCGTATATCGGAAAGGCGTTCAAGTTGTTTAAATAAGGCGTCCGGCGCCAACCGCATGGACATGAACTTGAAGAATACCATATACCAACATACCGTGACGACGTGCGGAAACCGGACCGTCAGGATCCGAGTCTTGTCGAATCTCAAACTGTTATTAGCGCTCATGAATTGCAATTAGGTTACTCATTTCGACTGGGTCAGTGAATGGGGTACGACGACGACGACGGCTGTGGTGGTAGGCATTCGCGAGTTTAGAGTTATGGTGTAACTTGCCATACTGAGTGTTGAAACCAAATCTTTTAGGAAGTGGAGATCTTTGAGCCCTTGATCTTCTTAGGCTGTTAAGTTCTACACTAACAGGAATATATTCGCGGTTATGGATGTGTATGCCCGCTCCGGATTGATGTTCTGGATTACGAGTAGTCTCCGTGAATAACTTGAACGTGTATGAGAATACCGATCCGTTGCACCTACTAGCGTAATAGTTTTTCTATCCTGTGTGATTGCAACGTGCATCCGAGCTGGCGGAATTGCCGAGGATACAGATAGAATGAGGCAGCTGATTATACCTATATCATATTAGCTGCGGCCTGATGACGATGACACCTTTGCCAATTCAGCCAGCCTAGCTTGTTTTTGAAAACGGGACGAACTACTCGTGACCAGCCCGTATCGATGGCTAGACGGGCTGGTCACGAGTCTACTTATGGGTGAACCCATCGAATGGAATACAGCCAACAGATAACACATAGGATGCCCTGGGACAAGTCACGGGTCACAAATATGGTTGCACTCACACTAGCTCGCCAGCAAGGAAAGCACCCAGTTTGTCTAGTGAGAATACGAGCGCGGGACGATGAGAAGACAAGGTACGATCTCAGTATGCGATAGACAACTGAGATGTTCGTCCATTTTGGCGCTGGGTTTATAGTAAGTGAAAAGAAAACGATGTCAATCAATAACATATATTATTCTCGGACCACTAACGTCCTATCTCGGATCCTTTGGTAATCTCGCTCTCTATCTTGTCGGATCCTTCGGAATTCAACAGTTTGAATTCGAATCATCGAGCCTCGATATAGCGCATGACAGAAAAAAATTGTTGTCTCCGAGGATCAGTAGACAACCACGATGGACAGGAGGCAAAGAGGTGTTTAATGGAGAAAGCCAAAACCTTACAAAAGCTTCCGACATACTGAAAGTGAGCTAGACGTCAAGGAAAAAGCATAGTTGTTGACCATGTTAGACTTGATAACGATCTGATGGTTCGTCCCCGGCCCCCTATTGGCAATCCGGCCTAGACGTCAAAGCTTCTCACCCAGCCTTAGGATAATTTGGCATCGTATGGATTAGCTCAACTTCTGGAACCCTCGTCTGAAATTCAATAGCGCCAGGGACATTTGGCATGAACGCGCTCGTAAACCCCATATCATCCTGCGGCTTCGTAAGATCCAGATTGAGCTGGAAAGCCCAAAGAATAAGAAGTTGAACACCGATCTGTAACATTTCAAATGAGATTCGGGGAATTAAAATTATATGCGGAGAAAGAACCGTAACATGTTCGCAACGTGTTGACCTGGGCATACGCTGGAAGGAAGGACAATCAAAGGAAGTGCATCCCGCAAGATGGTGCTCACCGCCGACCAAACCCAAATACAAAGAATGTGAGACCGTCTCTCAGACGACCTTGGTCGTCAATCCAGCGCTGGGGCTGGAATCCATCAGGCTCGGGATAAACTTCTGGATCTCGAGAGATAGCCTGAGGCGGTGTCAATTCAATGTCGTTCTTCACAGACATCGACGTACCAGTGGTTGCCGGTTACTGTGGTTCCAGCGGGAATGCAATAGGTTTCCTGCCCGCGGATGTCAGATTATCCTCGCGCAACAAAGTATTTAGAGAGAACTTGCCCAAATTACATCTTTAGTAGTTCGGTGAGGCAATCCTATAGTGTGAATTGCGTGAACGTTAGGTGCAGGACCGACCATTCAGAGGCCTAGCCTCAGGAACTGACGGTCTCCATCTCAGAGCCTCGGAGATAAAGGCCTCCAGACAAGGAAGGGATGGTCTATCGGCGAAGGTCGGTGCTTTGGAGAAACATCAATAATCATTTGACAGAACTCCGATGTATTGTCCAGTTACCTCGCTCCTTTCCGATGACTGCATCAAGCTCGGCCTGTACTTTAGCTTGCTCTTCAGGGAAGCATGCAGCCACCATCAGCACTAACCTCATATATCGGAAAGGCGTTCAAGTTGTTTAAATAAGGCGTCCGGCGCGAACCACACGGACAGGAAGAGGCGAGTACTGTCATATCCTATTACACATTTGTCGCGTGTTGGGTCAATGAGGCGAGTACGAAGACGACGGTTGTGGTGGTGGGCAGTGGGCACTAGAGAGTTTAGAGGTATGGTGCGAGTCTTGAAATCAGACCTTATAGGAAATGGAGATCTTGATTCTTTGAGCCCTTGAACTTTTTCATCAACAAAACAACACGTAGCGTATATGATCATATATGGTCTTGTGAAGCTTATATCAGCACGCACGTCTGTTTATCATATTATATGGCCTTGCAGCGATCTTGTATGAGTGTAGCAGACAGGTGAATTTCTTATAATCTCCAGCCAGTATTGCAGAGACTTGTATGGATGCGGGCAGACTGGTGGTTACTTGCATGGCCGGCAACAGGCTGATGGTTACCTGTATGATAATAGTATGGATGTGTGTCATCGTCTTCGTGTCCGAGAACCATGACATCTGCATGTGTGCGGGGATTAAGAGAATCTTGAGAGCGACGCAGATCATATGCCGTATAATTGACACGAATGACCTTGTGCTGGAATATGCGGTCATTAACGAACAGGACTTGGGAACGCTCGGCTGAAGAGAACTCTGTCTCGTCACCATCGTATTCACGACCAAGTATGCGAGAAAGGAGGTGATCTTTCAGCCGAGGAAGGAAGTCCTTTAGGAATTATGATCATGAGCACTGCTAACTCAAAGAAACTCACAGCTTACATCTAACGCAGGATCGTTTGCATGTTTGATGAGCCATCGGGGGAGATTCAAGTGGTACCTCGTGCCATTGGAGATGTGGTAGTGTGACATTGGGTCTGAGTAAGCCAAAGGCTCCGATGCTTCGAATGGCATGTGAAAGGGGGCGTCTTCACCTGCTGTCGTTGTATGACCAGGTTTATGGACTGTTGTAGACTTGCCTTTCTCCGATTTTGAATTGTTGTGCTCTGCCCGAGCCATTTTGAATAGAATCTGTTCACGACGTTCCTGTTTTGCAATTCCAGATGTGAACTTTGCTTTGCTGACTCGCGGATAGAATCGTTTGACGCGACGATGTTCAAGCTCGCCCTGGAATATATTGATTCAGTGCCAAAATAAACAAAATCGCTTCTAGAGTGCACCGGTTGAGTGGTAAAGTTGTCCGTTGTTCCAAACTGACGAATAGCATCTACATAGTCACCGAGGGCATGGAGCTTGTATGTCTCAAAGTTGAAGCGTCGGATCTTCGGCCCATCTGTACCTCGCCTTGAAGTCAGTGCTGCAGACTGTGAAGGCCCTTGTTTTGCTGCCTGTAGAGCCTTTCGGCGTCCACGAGCAGCCTCCTCGCTCAGTAGATCTCGTGTCTCAAACTCTTCCTCAGTCTCCTTGACAAAGTGCCTGAGAAACCTTCCAAGACGTGTCGTGGATGTGTCGAGAAAGCCAAGTGTCGTGTCAGTATGCATTCGCAGTTTCGCAAGGCCTTGCCATGTTGCGAGTTCGAATAGCAGATCTAGCAAAGGTTCATTCCACCGAGATGGAAGCAGCAACTCAAAAACGGGTATAGCACACTGTTTTGTTGATGTTAGCTCACGGTAACTCCACATTGCACAACGGTCACCTGCAGCAAGTCTTCAAAGTCCCTCGCTGCGAGACGCTTCATACCTGAGGCATTGTTACTGAATCGACGTATTGTACCCCGTCCAAACGTTGGTACTTGTCGATACCTGTAAATTCAGTCTTAATATGAGGATGGTGTGAGATAGAAAATAAGCAAACCTTTCATTTAAATCCTGAATTGTATCGTTCCCATATGAGTACAAAATCCGAAGAAGATGGGTGAAGATGGCCTTCCAGACTCCGAGCTCGAACTCATGGAGTAGGTCAGGTACGAAAAGTGAATCCAAATTGAATCCAAATTGAGCAAGTCGAGTCGAAAATGCACTCTATTAATCTGTTACTGGTGATCATAATGCAATTATGTGAGAATGACAAACCGCAGTCGCAATAAGAGATTCTGAGCCAAGTAGACGTTTGACAAAAATACTAGTAATGTTGGTACCCTTCACGTACAGCCAGTTACGAACCCTCTTGATTGTTGATTGTAGGCCATGACTATCTTGACGTGCATCTCGATCACGACGGCGCCTATGTGCGTGAGTGCCAAGAGCCCCAATCTTGTCCTTTGGGATTAAACATCGAGGGCAAGGACATTTCGCCAGAAACTTGATACAGGCCAGAAGTGTTCTGCAGAGTGCGTGAAGTCAATATGAGATTCAAGCTGGTGAAGATTCTGTGACTCACTTTTCGGGGTAGTCTGCAGAATAAGTAAAAAACCGGGGAAAGACTCGCCGACAGATACCATCGAGAAATTCAATGACAATTCCAAACTCGTAGGCATGCATGAAGTCGTCGTCCATGAGGAGCAGCCAGATGGCTTGCATAAGTTCATGTCGGCAGTGCGTCAAGACCTCCGCAGTTGCAGGTTTTTCGAATGCTTGCTGATAAAAATCCTGGATCATATCTGTAAGCTATTAAAAGGTTGTCAGTGAGCAATACACAGCATCTTGCCATAAACTCACTTTAGGAATATAGGCAAGATGGTGCGCAGCGAAGCACGATGGCTTGCCCCGAACATATTTTGACTGATTCCCAAAATACATATATATGGGCCACAACGATGCGGTGCCAAAACTAGCGAGGTGTGTTGAATCCGACCACAGCATGATTGAGGCAACTACCGTCTCGAGGGTACAGCCATCAACTCTAGGTGTAGATGCAATCTTGCGATGCTCGTTGATCATAGCTGGGGACATGTACAGTTCTGAGTACACACGCTCTGCAGGTTCATTGGGCGATGCTTGGAAGGAGGTTTCAAATGGTGTGAGATGAAACTGTTCGGCTGAAGCTTCACGAAAGGCAGTTTTGAGGACCTCTAATGGACGGCGGTAGAAGAGTCCCGGTACATTGAATTCAGGGGCACATTCCTCTGAAGGATGCTCAACACCATCAGCAGGCAATCAGATCTTGACCGACGTCTCTATCCATCCATCAGCTGTTGAAAACGATGAACATATGTCCTCTGGATCACCCTGATAATTATCCAGGCATTCCAGTTCCTTCGAAGCTCGAAATCCTTGCAGATCTGTTTTATCAAAATCCTCTGCGAGGATGACTTCGTTGACGAGGCGATCGAGTTCAGTGAGGGATTTCATAGTTGATCCTCCATGAAACCAACACATTAAGCGATATATAGTTGCATTCAGAAATGGTACAAAGAAATTCTCCGTTGGTGTTTTCATCGAAGTGCCAAAACCAGACCACCAGGGCCTCGAACCTGCTGCTGGCTGCTGTGCACTTGCGAAGTGTGTTGAGTCAGAAAGGTGGGCAAGGGAGGCAATTTCGTCAGGGTTGTACGATGGGAATGAGTTTGGATATGTTCAGAAGAGCCCATAGTGGTCAGGTTGCATAATACATGGCTGCAGCGGTGTTGGAGAATGTGACAGAGAACCGGTGGGCAAAGACCGTGGGGGAGAAGCGGTAGGCACCTGTGGTGGTTGGGGAAGGACGGGTAATGGAGGGAGGATGTCCTGGTAACGTTTGGGCAGTCGACGAGCACGATTCGGTAATCCAGATGTGCGAACTAGGGGCGGTGGGGTTGGCTCCCGGAAATCCTAGTATCAAGTGGTAAATTACAGGCCTGAATGAGTGTAAGTGATGTAGAGACATACAGGTATCTCATTGTCATCCAGTGCTTCTGCACTCTGCTGGCGGATTGCCTCCCGCGCCCTGATTGCGGCATCTTCATCATCTAGCCTTTGTACCTTGGCAGCAAGCTGCCTCTTTTGATCCTGACACCGCTTTTTGATTATAGATGTTATTGACCCTGCCTCCTTCTGTGCACACTTGCCGCATTTGTGATTTGAAAGGCCCCGTGCACTGTCAAAGGTAGCTCTGCAAACAGAACATGGGTAGCTGACCATGATGGACGTACAATCAAGGGGCTTGTCAATAGCAGTCTGATACTTATATCACAGGTGAGCGCTTGATAGGGACACGGTCCGACCATCTGTCACATTTCAAACTGCAATTGACTGATATTATAAACTTGCAGACACGCTGCAGACGAGATCAAGTGCGATATCGCCAAAGCATGATAGTATTGGTATCTTGATATTGCAGTTAAAAATGTTGCTCTGCAGGTGCTGGAGCAGAACGTTCATGAACGCGCCTGTGTATGCCTCCATGGATAGGATTGTCCTTGGACATTTCAAAGATGTATACGCGGGTCGGAACCAGGTGAAGGTTCATGAGAGTGGGCATGACCAATTGTCATTGTTTGGGGTGGGCAAGGGAGTGGATGGCGACCGTATAATAAGTGCGATGCTAGGCACTGATATTTTTGCGATCGCACGAGAGGCTTCTGCGTCTGGCTGGACCAATGATTACTTGAAGGCAAGTAAGGCCCAGTCTTCATTTTGTTGGTGATCTGATGTTATGGTCAAGCTTGGTCCACAAGCGGATGCGTGCCTCAGTGGCAACCTCCCCATTGAACTGACATTTAGGGATAATGGCCCCAGCGTTGGACCATTGCATTCAGCTGAGAAGAACATTGCGAGGGCGGGTGAGAATGTGAGGTTGGGTGAGAATGTGAGGGCGGGTGAATATGTAAGGGCGGGTGAGAATGTCTGATGTGGCGCGTGCGCTCCCCCATAAATGCAGGAGGTGAAATGCTGTGGGACGACATGTAAAGAGAATGCAGTGATGACACCGACGCTGGCTGTGAGAATGAGTGTGGGGCTAAGCTGCTTGACATCATATGCAACGAGGAGAGTATATCAGGAGAGCATGAGCACATGGTTGATGACACAGGAGGTGACTGTGCGAGTCTCGTGCCATGGTGTAACATGGCTACAATGTCAGTGAGCGCATTGTGACTAGGGTAGGGTTAGGGATACACACCTTCAAGGTGTCACCTCCCTCATGTGGACGCCTAGTTAGGGATTTGCACCTGCAAGGTACTGGCACCCCATGAGGGCGCCTGAGACAAGAATAAATAAATAAATATGTATATATGCCAGATCATAGGTGCTGGTGCGCCAACCTCCAGCGCAGCCAGCACCTCCCAGGTGCATAAGTGAAAATTAACCTATAATAAAAGATAGAATTATTAGTCGGATATGAACAGAACATGTTCTCAGCGAGATGGGACACTCTGTGAAATATGGATGTGGTGGAAGGGGAAGTGGTGCTCCACTACTCAGCCTCGGGGTGGTGACGGGCCATACCGGGTGTCATAGGGAGGGGAGTTTAAGCAAAGAAAAGGAAGAGACACTCACCAATTTACAAGCTGTGAGCGTTGAGTTCGGAAGTTGGATTCATTTGGGGCCTGCAAGCAACCAGAACGCCGGCACTAAACTTTGACACATTAGTAAGTCAACAGAACCAAACAAACAACACGTCAACAACATTCCTGAATCGTATTCACCCCTTAATCCTGAACTACATCATGCCCAAGAGCACAGACCAGAACATTCGATCCAAGGACTCTTTCGAAGCTCTTCTCTGGAGCTTAGATGATACTTCATCCACTGGACGCAAGCAGAAGAAAGCGTAAGTCATCCATATGCAAAATTGAAAGACCGTGACTTACATTGATTACAGCAATCCACTTGATCCTTACCTAACTGCTGCTCGATTCTTCCGTCTAAACTATGACCTTTTTGCTAACATTTTCGTGATTCTGCGAGATGGAATACTTGCTGAATTTGAGCCCGAGGATGCCGATCATGACCAAGAGCAGGACGAAGAGTTTGTTTTCATTCCAACTAGCCATTATTAGCTAATGGTTCATCTGTTGCAGAACACGAGCCAACATTCATCTGTTTACGACATTCGCAAAATCGATTCCGAATTTCAGTGGCCTCATTGCAAAACTCGAATGAGAACCAGAGTCACTAACAAGTTTCCTCAAGTCGGTAAGTGCATATATGCGCTATTTTAGCATACAATGACATTTGATAGATGGAAAGTGCAGTGAATGCGGCTCGTTGTGATGATACGGGGTCTCTCAAGCATACTGGGCTTCAGTACATGCTCAGTGACCCCGCCAAGGATTGTTTCGACCCACCGATACTCAAGTCTCACAGTAAGGCCTTGCGAGGGTGGAACCACCCACAGACTGCACAACTCTTATGTCCTGCATGGGATATTACTGAATTTGACATGGACCCACAGTACGTACTTGTACTTGATTGAAACTGACACTAACATGCTTCAGAGCTTATATGGACAAGGTCAATGCAGGGGAGAAGAAGATCAGCGCAAAGCAGTGGCCATCGATGTTCTACGACATGAGCTTGTACGACCCAAAGAACAAGAAGAAGGGATTCCTCCGAAGTCGTGTGGTGATACAGGTAACATTTTTGAACTAGCAGAACCATGCTTTGACCTCCCTCATTCTAGGCATGGCGCCATATCTTTATAGGTCCTATGTCGGCTCTATCCAAAGACAACATTGGTCACTCATCAAAGCCTAGGAAGGGCAAAATGCATCACCTTGCCGAACCAGGGATCAGAAACATAATGTATGCCGCGTGCCAGGTATGTGATTCTATTTAATTATCTACTACATCTGAATATTGCACATCAGATGTCTTTCGCAGCCAGCAATGCGGAGTCGTGGACGCCTGCCATTGGGGCCATGGACCTTGGTGACCTATACTATAGAGCCATCGACATCGTCCATGATAACGCTGAGCAGCAGTGGGTCAAAGATTTGATGAAATTCTGGAAGGAGTAAGTGTGCTGTTTTTTGTATTACCTTAGATGACGACCCACACAGTGAAACTCCTGGCCTAATCGACAACCATCCCTCCAAGCGACGCAGAGTTGCTGCAACTGATGACTCTGGTACCGATGACGACATGGATGACTTTTTCGGCGACGACACAGCTTCTGCTGACCAGCATGATGAGGAAAATGAAACACATGGCATGCAACCCATTAACAACGGCGAATCAGCAGCGGGTGGTAACATTCCCCCCCCCTTGTTTCCATTATTTTGTGTTAATGTAATCTACTACTAGGTTCTTGCACTCCAAATCAGAGCAATCTTGGTGGTCCTCCCCCTCCTACACCTCCTCACAGCTCCCCCGGGCCAACATCTGGCAGTTCCCCAGCACCTCCTCACACTGGCTCCTCAGCACCTCCTGGACCTCAACGTGAACCTTCTCCTTTGAGTGAACCTCTGACGACTCCTGCACCTGTTGGACACAAAACCAAACGAGCAGCACCAGTGCCTCGAGGCGGTGCCCGTGGTCATGGCAAGGCAAAATCATGACGGTGATGATATGCAGTCACAAGCTCTCCCTTGTGGTTTTTTTTCATTTTCGTCATGTGTTGCTAGCCTCAATGTCCTGTAGTACTTGAACAATTATCATGTCATTTGAGTTCCATTCAAGTGTGATCTAAGACTAGTAGCTACAATAACATGACTATATAATGCTGGTCCAGACCTCAGCAGTCCATGCAAGCTGCCTGATAAATATAAGCCACCCAATGCATATATGGGTCACCAGGCACCACATGGTGGTACACGGACCGCACGACTGACTTGGACTGACATGAATCTCATAGAGTATGTGTGCATAGCAGCATCACACAACACTTGTGCTGCCTCGCGACAACTTGGGGAGCTTGTGGACCCTTATACAGGCAGGTGAAGTTAGGTATGGTAGGTGCCCTTTTGTTGATGTTATGCTGTAAAATTATACATCAGCAGAAACATATTTGCGGTCATGAATGCGTATGAGGCACTCCAGGTTGATGACGAGTTGTCTCCGTGAATTACGAGAATGCCAGTTTGTTGCACCTAGGATGGTATCTTTGGGTATACTACAATTGGGGACAACCAAACACATCAAATTTGGTAGCCGTCCAGCATGAATTTTTGGTGCCAAACCAAGGCCAGATCTGAACTCAGGGAGTGAAAATACATCTAAAAACAGTGGTCCGAAGTTTTTCCCACGAGGTTTTTGGCCCGCCAAATTTTTGGACAATTTGAGAGATATTGTGTACCCCTTTGAGGCATCTGAGGCACCATTTTTGGGGCCCCTATATCACTAGATACAGGTCACTGACAAAAAATCAATCTAATTTAGCTATGTAGACATGATTTTACCCATTCGCGGCCCAATCAACACAAGTTCGGGAGCATTTGAGGGACATTCTAGGAGTAATTACTTCAACACTTACCAATTTTTAGCACTAGAATGGCCCTGTAATTTTTGTAATATTTCAATGGAATCATGCACAGGACATTGAAAGGAAGTGATTGCTATATTTTTCGAGATTTTAGCGATTTATTTATGGTACCGCCAAAATTTTGCCTCAGAAAATCCTCAAATGAAAGTTTTTGGACAATCTGCTCATGCAAATCCATTGCACTAGTCCTCAACAAACATATTCTGCACTAAAAATGGGTTCCCAGTCATTTGTGGCACCAGGAAAAATCAGTCTTTGGTGTCATCCAAAATTAGTGATTTTGGTTGTTCCCAACTGTAGGATGTACATCACAAAATTTGCAGAACTGAGATATTACCTGATTTAGACTGTTGTGTGCCACAACAATTGACACATCACTGTCAGGCCATCTCGGCATGACATATTATATATCTCTGTGCTGTCAGAATAGGATCACTATGTAGTACATTGTATCTATGTGATATATACAAGGTATTGCACAGATTGACCAGCAATATTAAGTCAGTGTAAACAACATGTTAGGTTAAAGTGTGCCATAGCCCTCCTCTGCAAGCAGGTCATCATCAAGTTCCTCACCCTCATCAGCCAAAACTCTGTCGTCATCATCATCATCCTGACCTATATCAGCCTCATTGTCTGCACCTTCCTCCTCGTCAGCACCCTCTTCCTCATCAGTACCCTCTTTGTCCTGCTCCTGAAAGTCTTCCAAATCTGACTCATCCCCTTGCATCTTGGAGTCTTCCTGTGCACTTGATTCAGTGTTGCATCCCACACCTTGGAGGAACTCATCCCAGTCCCACATGGCCTTGTGACCAATCCTGCCCCCACAAAACCTCATGAATATGTCGCGATCAATGAACCTGTAGATACTACCATGAGAAATATAACAAGAAAAAAATAAGAACATACATGTTTACATAGTAATAGCACCAGTCTGTATCAAGTTCATCCTCTTTGTGGACAAAGGATGGTACAAGCAGTGTGTCAGTGCGACTGTAAGCAAATGCAGGGATCATGTGTACCCCGCGGATGACAGAGTCAGGGTCCAGGAATCCAAATGCTTCCCCAAGACTGTCTTGGTCAAAGAATTTCAAGCGCTGTAGGCATTTAGCAGTAAAGCCAGCAGATGATCTGTCACGTCTGAACCAACGAACAAATAAGACATCCATGCATCTTGGTCGTGAATAGTGTGACTCCTCGTTCTTGTGATACTCTACATTGACATGAAATATCATGATAATGTGGGCGTACCAGTAAGGATGTGTATGCTCATCCTCTTCAGCAAGTACCATGACATCAGCATGAGTTTGGAGATTGTGTCTTGTTCACGTTGTAGATCATATGTTGTATAGTTGATATGCAATGTGCTATGCTGGAATAGCTTGTTCTGACCAATGAGGACAGAGTTGCAGTCTTCATCTGAAAACTCATATTCATCACCATTATATGCAAGCCCATGAAGGCGGGCAAGCAAATGGTCTTTGATGTGAGGGATAAAGTTCTGATAAATGCAATGAAACCTGAGTGAAATGTATATACAACACCACATACCTCAACCACTGGATCATCCGCCAAATCAACTAACCAGGCTGTGAGATCGACACTTTCACAAGAATACTTAGCGATATAGTAATGGTCTGTGGGGTCAGTGCAGAGACACTTTGGTCTGGAATTGGCCTTCTGCATGACAATGGTTTCATGTGCAGCAATGACTTTCTTGACCAAGCATTCAATTGTGTCCTGAGAGGTTATGCTACATGTTGTTTGATCCTTTTTCTTGGGTGTTTGTGGATACCAGCACTTTGACAGGCGGTGTTCAAGCTCTCCCTATTGGCACATCAGAAGACAATATTAGATGAAATAAAATAGTACATACCAACTGCGAGTTAAAGCTATCTGTTGTACCTCTTTCACGGATGGTGTTAGGGTAGTCGGCAAGCACATGGTATTTGTAGGTGTTCAAATTCAATCTCTTTATCTTTGGACCAGAGACAGTTTGCAATATTCCTGGTTGTTTTGAGGTGAGTGCAGCCTGTTGACATCCACAGGCAGCATGTTCATGTGGAAGTTCCATCATGTGATAATGTTTGCACACAGTGTGCTGAAATTTCCGAATGGACTGACCCAGAGCAACAGTTGCTGAATCAAAAAATGCGAGGGTGTTGTCAGTATGCAGGCAGAGTTTGGCATATGCATTCTATGATGCAAGGTCAAAGAGAAGGTCTGTGATAACCTTGTTATGGTTGGCCTTTTCCTTGTTGTCTGATTCTTAGTCGATGAGGATTCCTTCAAAGACAGGAAGAGCACACTAGTTTACAATATAATTAAATGAATGAATAAATGAGGTGAGTGTGAGCTCACCTGCAGGAGATCCTCAAAGTCTCGTGCTGTGAGATGTTTCATTGCTGATGTGTTGTTATGGAAGCAACAGATGGTTCCTCGTCCAAAGGTAGGTACTCTTCAATATCTGTAGAAAGCCACATGAGCATAAGTATGACCATAATCCCTAAGTACATACCTCCAGTTCAGCTCCTGGACTGCAGTGCCACCTTCTGCGAAAAGGATGCACATGAGATGGGTAAATATAGCCTTCCAAACTCCCAGTTCAAACTCATGTAGTAGGTTGACAACAAAGAACACAAAGAAATTGAAGAAATACTCCGCAAGGCACTCAGAGAAGGCATTCTACCAAAAAATCAACCTTAAAACCAATATCTTGTGATGAATAACTTACTCGAGTAGGGACAAGTGACTCTTCATTCAAGATATTCTGGATGCGCTGGCCATTGATACTAGCTCCCTGCTTGAACATCAATGCTTGAGCTTGTTCGACACAATGATGTCATTGTTCATTGTCAATCTGGTGAGTCCTCTCATGATATTTCATATCGATCTTGGTGCCCATCATAGGGATATTGGATTTCTTAATGAGGCACCATGGACATGGGCATTCACCAAGAAATTTAATACATGCAAGTAGGATCCTGATAGGCCTGAAATCAGATACTGTAATTTGATACAATGATCAATCATAAAACCTACTTTTCTGGATAATCCGCAGAGTAACTAAAGAATCGGGGAAATACACAATGTGTGATCCCATCTCCACATCAAATAACAATACCATATTTATAGGCATGCATGAACTTCTTATCAAGGAGAAGTGCCCAGATGACCTGCATAAGCTCTCGCTTATAATGGGTATGGACATTGCTCGAGGATGCATTGGCAAAAATATCAAAATAAATGTCTTGAAAATCACTGGGGATCTATTAAAATGAGTATGTGACAACATGTTATAAGACAAGACTTACTGAGGGGATGTACACTGTAAAGAGTAAATCTAGGCTGGGCTCTACAGAATGTGAGTCCCTAGTCCTGAGAGATGTGAGTGTGCTTCGTCCCAAGAGACAACCTAAAAACTACCTTGATAAAAATGCAAGGGAAGTCTTATACAGTCAGAGAGTAGACAAGATATAGGGAAGTAAACCTCTAATGTTCATCTGAAGTTCTGAAACTACGTCCAAAGTACTGAGATACTGGTCTGATGCAACCAAAGGTCGTCCGAAGCTGTGAAAGTGATGTCTGGAGTAGCGCGATGCCTTCCAAGGTTTGCGAGAGCTGTCCAAAAGTCAGAGTGTGTTGGTGTGTCAATGTGTTGGTGTGTTGGTGTGTTGAATAATATAAGACTTTGCGAAATGTCTGAAGTTTGGAATGACACTAATCTACCAGAACTCAAGAATAAATGAGGTGCAGAATTGGCAGCAGTCTAGCCAAACAATCATTGTAGAGACTCATTCCTGACTAGGCTTGTAGATACTGTCTTTACCTTATGTTTGCTATTTTGTAGCTTACATAATGAAGTTACCTCTTCACCAGTTTCCATCACCAGTTTGAGTCTTAGTAGTTTTCCTCTCTCTCTGAGCTTTGAGCTTAGTACAGAAACCCTTTAGGGTCAAACACTGTCTTCTAGACAACATAGCTAGGCAGCAAGACCCAACATTATTCAGACTAACCATCTGAATTGTTGAACCTTCATCGTTCTGAATGAACAAAAGATCAATTGCATAGTTATGAATATACCGAGGTGACTCTACTAACTATGACTCAAAGTACGGGAAGTGAAGTGCAGTACTTGTAGTAAGTGAGCGAGATTATATCCTACTTCCGTGAGGGACCGGAATGCATAGCTGAAACTAGTAGTGAGATAAGCAAGTCTGAACCTATGTGATAAGCCATGAGGCATACTGTTCATACATATTCTGCAGATCCTGACAGGATGCTGATGGAATTTATCTGTGGTAGCACTAAGACATAATCAACATATAGATAGAATAAGGGAAAATGCACCAGTGAAGTCAAAAGGACAAGGATAGGACATGGTATGGTAATCTGCGAGGTTTGGACAGGCCTCGGAACACAAGGACTGCCCGTGGAAGGTTCAGACAAGTGCACATGGCCTTTGGAAGGTCAAAGGAGGTCGAGGAATGATATGGGACATAAGTGTTAGATTGACTGGTTCTGAGCCCAGCGCTGCGACCATCATTACAATGCCACATGGTGGCACGCAGATGCTGTTGGTTTCCCTCTTGTGTATTTAGACTGATTGCCAAAGAACAAGTAAAATGGCCAAAGTGAGGCATCACCAAAGTTTGTAAGATGTGTGGTATCTGACCACATCATAAGGGAGGCAACAATATGTTCAAGGTTGTTGTCAGCTTCCCTACTGGTAAGATTCTGAGAAAGTGGGGGATGAGTATGCCTCAGAATACACATTGACAGTGCGTTCCTCTGACACCTTTCATTGCTGTTGGAAGGGTGTCATATGAAAGGTGGTGGCAACACTATTCTGAGAGACCGACATGATGACATCAGTGAGTGAGCAGTGGTAAACACCTGGTATCTTGAGCACAGGTGCATCATCTTCTGATCCCCACTTCATCTTCTATTTCGGTAGGCGGATTTGGACCATAGACTTGTGCCAGCCATTTTCAGTGCAGAAGGGGTTATATGAATCCTTGAGATAGGCACTGATGAGCCACTTCTCATGTATGTCATCATAAATCTATACATCCTCTCTCTTGTACTCATTATCGTCAAGGAAGTTTCTTGTGAGTCGTTTCATCTTTGCATTTGACTTGGAAAACTCTAGAGTACTGCCAGTACATGAGGAGCCCCACTGTCAGGCTACTGAAGGCAGAGAAAAGTTTGTTAGGCCCAATCTCTGAAGAAGGAAGTCCAGTAGTAATATGAGAACTTCCGACACTAGGATCACAATCCAGGGTAGGAGCATCAACTGCTGCATCAAGACCGACATCTCCCTTTGGTATCAGGGTAGGACATGCAGAGTAGATACAGAAAAGATCCATCACATTGGGGGCTGTTTGGTATGGAACAAGGGAGGGCTGATGAGGGATGACTTCAGAGGCAGGACTATCTGGTGCCTATGCTTGTTCAGGCTAGACATAGCTGGTAGGTTGTTTTGAGGGTCATCCATGCTCCTGACAATTGGCTGGGGGCATGTGAGCAAGGTGAGTTGCTGAGCCTGGGATATAGTCAATATACTGTGCAGGCATCAATATTTGCTGCCCAGAATGGGCAGAGACAACAGCAGGTGCATCTGGGGTAGGAGCTGGAGGTTCCAGTTCTGTAATATATCCCGAGGGTCCAGCAACATCACTGTACTATACAATTATCATATCAGCATAATATAACTTGAGTAGATCAAAAAAAAATCACCTCGGCATTGACATGGTCATCACCCAGGTCCATATATACATCAGCTTCAGGAGAGGTATTCCTTTCCCTGTGTTCCAGAGACCTAGTCTCATCTCAAGTTCTCTTCTTCCAGCACTTTTTATATCCCTTGTCGAGGCAATGTTGACTCTTGTAGACATTAGCATTGAGGAGCTTGTCAGCTTCACACCGAGCCTCATGACCGCTCAAGCGCTTTTGGGATGTGAACACCTTCCTGCACCCTAAACAGATAAAGTCTTCCATATAGATAGGTAAACCACAGATACATTCTACTGGACTCAAATGTCTATTCATAGGTTCTGAATTAGTTTACTTCATTCCAGATTCATGTAGAGTGGGGAATACTATACCATCCTTAGTGGATTATCACCAACTCTGGTAGATAAGCTCCAGATGCATGTGGTGATCCACCATAATGCAAGGCATTTCACAGGTGACACTGCAATAACATTTGTTTAGAAATTCAAACATCTAATATTATACAGCGTGTTGGAGTGGGGCACCCCCTAGTCAGGGGGTTGCAGAGGCAGGGGTTTTCCAGAGGTTCAAGTAGCTTAGTCAGTTCAGGTGTGTCAGTTAGGGCATGGCAGTGGACAGTGACTCTATCCCATTCGAGTGCTGAGCATATTCATCTAGGTTGGAGCTGCTGCTCCATTGTGGTGAGAGAGTGGGATTTGGTCTTCGCATTAGCGTATATCTGCTTCCATATCAGAATTCTCAGACTTCATTAAACTGGTTCAAAAAACAATGATTGGTCAATACAATGTTACAGAACCAAAAATGTCAATGACCAAACATCAATGAACACGTGTAGAACACATTCTGACACTATTGTCTTGGAAAGGATGATAAGAAAAAACAACAAAAATGCCCCCAAAAGCAATTGAGAGACCCAAAAGGACAATTTATCTCAAAAAAAGCCTAACTAGCCTTTCTGACATCTCTTCCACAAACACATCAACTGAATCTTCCCTACTAGACACACCAGAACTCAGAATCAACAAGATAGAAGAACATATTCTAGACCAGGAGAATTCAGAGTACGAGTTCCAACGAAGTTCGCCAGCAACTAGAACAGACTGATGAAGAAGATCAAGAGTCATTAGTAGGAGTACCAAGACCAGATGATAGCATACTTCCCACCTTCAATGATCAACCATCACAAATGCTCATCGCAGTCATATAATTGCAGAACCCAATCGTATCGTGGCCAGTCCTGCCCATGACACCAAGTAAGACCTTCCTAAAACCCATTGCGGCCAAAGCAACCTCACAACTACCAGCCAAACCATCACCAAAGACAAGGAAGATGCCAGGAACAACACCCCAGGTTGGTTCCATGGCAAAGCCAATGAAAATGTGCAGAACTTCCTGCGTGAAGTTGATCGGTACATCATGCTTAACAAGCTAAAAACTGAACAAGGGAAGATCACAGTGTTCAGTACTCTCTTATTGTCAGGATCAATCTCAGACACCTGGTGGAACAAGTTAGACAGTGCGCACAAGAACACATGGATGGATGTAAGAACAGCTCGTATGAAACCACATTAACGACATAACCCATCATCCAGACACCACAGCAGGACAAGCAGCATATGACAACCAACTCAAGCAATGGTTGGCAACAAATGGGCAAACAAGACGAGTCACCGAGAATACCCAATTCCCACTTCGTCCAGGCAATGCTATGATATGCTCAGGGGAGTGTTTCAAATGCAGCGCACATGGACACATGTCAGTGGACTGCCGAGTCCCAGAAGCATCGCAGCTACCATTCCAGGAGAAAATCTGGCGTAGCTTAGCAGCAAGAGCCCTAGGGAACTTTAACCGGATGAATGCCACACAGATCAATGTAGTGTTTGAAGAAGAATATGTGCAGTGGGACCAGGGAAAAGGATCAGGGTCGTCAGTGTAGAGGGACACCAGACGACCCGCATAGATAAAGTACCTCAGCTGCTGGAACCACCAGTCCTCGTATGTGAAGAGGCAACATATGAGGACTATCATCAAGGCCCCGTCGAAACAATCATAGACAGAGAACCATGCAGTGTATCAGCATTAGATGATCAATGTAATGTCAGTGACTTGTATTCAACGGCAGAAGAAAAAGACAACAAGCAATGGTACCTACCATTCCTGCAGTATACTTCGTTCCTAGGTCCACAAGGCAAAGTTGTCAGAGTCAAAGCATTATTCAATGAAGGAGCAATGATGAGCATTATGTGCTCATCGGTGTTCAACAATGTCAAGCATAGACTATGGAATTGGACTCCATCAACAAAGCGTCTTTGTATGGTGAACGGAGCAATAGTTCAATTGGAAGCTATGTGGAAGGGAGAAGTGGTCATAGGAGGAGTATGAATGCACGGAGAATTTGAAGTATTGCAGAGCGGAGGAGGCTGGAAGTTTCTATTTGGGAAACCGCTACTCCAGGCATTCAAAGCAGTCCACAATTATGAGGTTGATGAAGTTCAAGTCACAGGTACCAGGACACTGTACAACCAGATGCAAGTAATAAAAGCAAGCATCACAGAGGTTGAGAACGATGAAGAAACTCAGGTTCGCAGAATAACAAAGGACACTCCTATTTGCATAATGATCAATGAAGAACCCACCCAGTCGAATGAACCTGATAATCTCCTGAAGGAAGTCCCCACAGATTTCTTAGCAAATGACAAGGCAATATTCATGCGACTCACGAACCCACATAACCCACTGCGTATGTCATGGATTGCAAAATGAGTCCAATATGGGCAGGATCTCACACTGGAAGAACTAGAACAGGTGAAGGCGCTCGTCACGGAGTATGCGGACATCTTCACATGTTCATTAGGAGAAGTATTACTAGTGCCCGGAGCAGTACATCTTTTGAACATACCTGATGGAACAACATTCAATCTCCGAGTACACCAATGGCCACTCACTCCCCCACAGACACAGTTCCTACATGGCAAGATTGACAAAATGCTCGAAGTGGATATCATAGAATACACACCCCCAAAGGCAGTCAAATGCTGTGCAAACATGATACTGGCAAAGAAAGTGTATGAACAAGAAGGGATGATATTAGAAGAGTTGCAGTACACAGTCAACGAACAATGCTCACAAAATGGCCAGCCACCAGCCTTCATGTTACCAGAATGCGAAGTCCCAGAAGAACCAGCAAGGGAGAGCAGCACTCTGAAACCGCAAAAATGGAGAATTTGTCAAAACTTCAATGAAGTCAACTGAGTCATGATGATCGCACCAATGCCCCAAGGAGATATCAGAGCCAAGCAGCTAAGGCTCAGTGGACACAGGTACATATCAGTCTTTGACTTCGCATCCGGCTTCTATGCAGTTGAAGTTCCAGAGGAGTCAAGACCATACATGATGTTTTGCATCCAAGGAAGAGGATATTTTTGGTATAAGAGAATGCCCATGGGTCTGACAGGTGCTCCGTCAACATTTTTTGAAATGACAGCTAACAACCTACATGACATACTAGCAGATAGTACCATGGAACTATTCGTTGATGACGGAGGATGTGCAGCAAACACTTTTCGGAAAATGATGGACAAACTCAAACAAATCTTCCAAAGGTGTTGTGAACACAGTATCTCACTTTCACCAACAAAGTGCCACTTATTCATGACAGAGACAATATTTGCTGGAGCCACAGTAGGCCCTGAAGGAGTACAACCAGACTTAGCCAAACTTACTGTGGTAGTCAATTTGGAGCAACCACCAGATGCACTCAACCTGGAGTCATTCTTAGGACTAACCAGCTATTTTAGGGACCTAATCCAAAGCTATTCATTGCAGGACAGTGTGTTAGAAGTGCTTGGGGTCTTAGTGAGAGAGGAACACTGTGCATGAGCATCATGTCGAGAGTGCTTGGGGTTCTCCAGTCGTGCAAAGTTTCACTTGGGGTGAGTGCAAGGGCATCAGCCTTTGCAGGATGCCTTGTGAGCATCCTGATGCACCAAGCACCCATTGACCCCCGCATGAGGCCTCGATGCAGACTGAGGGAGATACTGAGACCCAAGGGCGGGTGAGATCATGCACATAATTCAAAGACAACCTATAATAAAAGATACAATTAGCATAAAACAAATTTTGAGCCTTCCCAGGGTCCCCTTGGTGCTCAGGACCAAGCCTCACAAGTTAACAGCACACGTTCATGGGTCAGCACCTGAGCAGCTGACAGTGTCCACATAGTGTGGAGCTGTGCGTAATGCATGTATCAGTGGCAGGTGTCAGACGCCCAGTGGTACTAACTGGAGAAGCAAGAAGAACAAGTTTGAAATTCTGGTTTGAACATCACATGATCTTTCAAAGTCAGCCAGCAAATACCAGTAATGCAAAGAGACGCAATTACGTGTTTTTCATAGTCATTTTTATCTGATACTAATTGTTTTTATAATTGTATACTACTATGTCAACCTCTATCCTTGTTAATAGTACCGACCAGGTCATTATCCATGACAATGTCATTGTCATGGATATTGAGAACCTCCTAACTGGCTGGCCAACTTACAAGATTAAGTTTATGCTGTAAAGAGTAAATCTCCACTGGGCTCAGCAGAAATTGTACTACCTAGTCAACAATTATTTAGATAGATCTTAGCACAACCTATGCTGCTGTACTTGCAGAGCAAGTGTGTTTGATCCTAAAAGGGATTGCTAATTGGTATTAGTAGTAAAATGTGTCAGTAATGCAAATAACAAAATGTCTGAAGCTGCAAAATGATGTCCGAAGGTAATCTGATGATGTCTGAGGGTACTTATCCAATGTCCAAAGCCAAAGTGCGATGTCCGAGATTTCGGACTTTCAGACTTCACAATAATAGGTCGGAAACTTTATAACGAGTGTTGGATTGTGAGCGGTATGCGCTAGTATAACAAGTAACAGAGTATGACGGTGAACGAATGGTAATATTTTGCAATGCAACTAAGAACTATGAGAATATTCTGGGTGATCCACAGAGTCGGGAAACGGCTCCTAACTACTGGATGATAATTGCTACAGGTCACTACAGAGTATTTAAGTAAGTACATAGAAATCTGAAATACTATAGGCGAAGATAGTAGCAATATATTTCGGGTCCTATGTCCTATGTAATAAGACACAAGGTGCTGCAGACATGTAATAATGTGGTCCCAATGTCAGAAAATGTGCACGGGAATAACTATGCACCTAGTGAGGCTAGTTTGGAAGGACAGGACACAGGATGGACAAGTGCACATGAAGTGCGATCAGCCGATGCAATGTCCAAAAGTCCAATGCAGAGTGGCTCAGACATGTGCGCGTATGTTTCAGGTGTTGACGTGAATATGAAAACCCATGGTTCCGAGCCCAGTGCCGTGACCATCATTACAACGCCCAAGAACCCAGGCCCATTGGTGAGTGATCTCAATCTTTTTATATTACTTACTGACTTGGATTTAAAAACTTATCATCTGGCTCAAGGATCCTGTCAAAATGGTCATCATTGAGGAATCTACCGATAGCGAGGCAGAGTTGCTGATTTCAGGCAATCACAAAAGGAAAAGGTGAGTTTCTCTTGATTCCGATCCTCTCACAAATAGATTTCCAACTTTATGTACAGAACCTTACCGACTGCTTGCAAGAGCAAGAAGAGTTTCTCAGCCAATACCATCAAGATCGCAGATGATCTTGCAGGCCTCAAGATCACTTCTGGATAAGCTTTTCTAATATTTACTTGATCATCACACTGACAAATTTTGATTTACAGTAATAACACTGTCAAGGCAAGACCTGTGCGCTTAGTGGGAGCCCACAAAAATCCTCCACCACCCAAACCCATATTTGACAGCAGCAACTGTTGGCCACCATGCCACCATCACCACTGTTTCAGGGATGTGGAAGATAAGGATTCCATTGAAATTTTTGAGCATTTGCAAGCTCTGCCTGCTGCTGTTGCTGCAGACTTAACTTAGATTACATTTTTCTGTGCCATTCCTTTTGCTCTCACATTGCTCTCTTATCTTGCACTCTGTATACTTTATAATTGTAGAATTAATTGTATTTCTTGTCGCGCCTGATAACATGTTAACAGAACCAAATAGAACATGATAACACGTGAATGCCCTACACTACCTCTCAACTCTGACTACTAAACTACTATGGCACATTGCAGGCGATCTCAAAGTCTTTCTGAATCCGAAAAATCAGAATTCTCTTCAAGTGATTCAGAAGATTCACAACACTCTCCAAGTCCAACACACAAGAATTCGAAAAAATGCACTCAGTCAGGTAGATCTGTTCAAGGAAAAACAAAGTACATTATATGTTGTATTCTTTTGATGCTTACATTACTTCTAATATTACAGGAAATTGAAGGTAACTAAGGACATCAACAACAATATAGATGAAGAGTATTTCACTGCTGCGTGTGCCATGGCACACTGCTATGACCTGTTTTGCAAGGTCGAGAAGCTCATCAAGATTGGGTGTCTTTGCAGCAAGACAAGGCTACTGATAGGGGAGATTTAGAGGAAGATGAGGCCAACAAGATGTCTTGCAAAAAGAGGCTTGAGGGCCTGTAAGTTTGTTTTATTGCTAGGCTGTATATCACTAATCTACTGTTTTAGTTCTACTTATGTACGTGATCGTTACAAACACGACTATCAGCAGCTCTTTCAACTCACTCCCGGCTTGCGAGCACTCATCAATGACAAGAGCAAGTCAAAGCAACTTGCTAGAATTGCACAAAATGTCAGTTTATACTGCATATATGTGCACTTATGATTTACTAACACATCATAAAGATGAACAGTATTATCAGTGCGACACGGTCTGATGACTCAACCCATCTGAAGTCTTAAATTGGTCACTATGTGGCTCCCTCGTCGGCCAAGGAACCTTTGAACCCACCTGTCAATAATGGTACCTCATCTAGGTCGCACATGGGTGTTAATCACCCCATTTTGGCTTCATTTCTGTGTCCCATAATGGCAATCAAAGAATACTACAAGGATCCTGCAGAGTAAGTGGTGTTTTGTGCTTGTCTTCTATACTGAGGTTCTGTATTCTAGAATGCAAAAAAAATTGGCAAGCGGACAGATCTTGATGTCCACAACTGATTTCCCTGCATATCTCTGGGAGGGAACTCCACTGGGGGAAAGGTACAATGACAATTCAATGACTGATGGACTTTTTAAAGGGTATTTTCTCATCTGCGTGAGTTTTCAACCATATACTTAATGTATCAATATCATACACTCACTGTATATATCAGATTATGTGTCATATATTCACAGGACCATCTACTGCCTTAGGTGAAGACTCACGTGCAACATGTTCCTGCAATGCTTCATTGCATGACATGACCATGGTCCATCATACATCCCCATGGAAGAAAGGCACTCCACCCATTGTGCTCATTCTCTGACTCCACCTTGTCATATGTCTCTGTGAAAGAAAGGCCCTGCTCTCCCCTTTTCACCTGGACTAAGTGATTTGACACAGGAGGATGAAATTGAGGAACTCGAAGTCAGCACCAGTAAGAAAGGGAAGTCAGCTGGGAAGAAAGCCAAGGTCACAGCCAAGGCTGCGGGGAAAAGGAAACATGTTGTGGAATCAGATAATGAGCAGTCATCTGAACATGCTAGACATCCCAAACAGCAAACAAGCCAGAAATAGATGTTTTCTTCCAAGGTATGTCTCTGTTATATTATAGACTGTGACTGACATTGATTTCTGCTTTGATTGACAGTATTCTGGTGTTCTCAACTCACATTGCTGTCATTTTTTCTCACCTCCATGCTTTCATTTTTGTACTCTCTTGTCCTGGTCCCTCACAACACATTGCTCTCTACCTACTGATGAAGTTGACCATTTGTACTCATGCTTCCCAGCTGTCTAGTGTACTTTACAGATACCTACATGTATCTGGATACCTATAATTCAAGTTTCCCTATATTCTGTCGCATAGCAATACTTTGTACTCTCATTACTGCATACAATACTATGCAATGTCTTCTCTATCTGGTTGACTGTTGATGTCCGACAATGTCTGAAATAACTATATGAAACACTAAGTGGCATCCTCATCTATGACACACAAGCACTCATCCATCGGATTTTTCAGTTCCCTAGTATTGCAAGATATACTGGGCCCTGGACCCGACACTGCTGACATTGTAGGCACTGAAAACATAACCATATATTGCCATGTCTTGGTCATGCAATTTTTGTGATGTATGGGCCAGCCTAGCTTGTTTTTTCGAAAGCAGAGGATAACTTTGAAGGCAAACATATAGTATGATACCAATTGTCATGTCATCCGAGTCTTCATGATGGCTACTAGCAAGCCACATCAGATGTTGAGAAGGCAGATACTGTCACAAATTTCCTAGAGTTGGCATTGCAATGACTCAGAGCAATGGTCACAGTCACTGAGGATGCACATCAGGGTTATCAATATTTAGGAGATGTTTCTATGTTGTAGCAAATGTGAAGAAAATATTTGAAATTTAAACTGACATAAAGATGGAGACATAACTTCAAACTTTTGTAATGTTTTGGATGACATACAAAATTTCAAGCATTGGCAACCATATTCCCACCGACTATATGTCAATAATAATAAGCAATTTAATCTAATTTTCTGCGTGTGCTCAAATTTTAATTTTAATTCAGACTTTAAACGGCAGACAAAACATGAAATTTGGGACATGACCATATGACTGCTTATTTAGGAAGTTTTGTCTGACAATTAAGACACCCTGAAAATTTGAAGTTTACACCGGTGTAGTGCTGCTGCAGTTTGGTTCTGAACCTCGGTTCGAACCTGAACCTTTCCGAACCGGACTCAAGGTCCGGTCACAGGTCCGGCATGGCCCCTGGACCGAACCTTAAGTCCAGTTCGGGGTTCGGAGCTAACCAGAACCAGTTCGGACGTGTTCGAACCCCACCAAAACCACCATCTGTCAGCACCTACACTACCTCAATTTTGCTGCTGCTGTTGCAAGTCCCCGACTCCTATTGGCTCATAGTTTTGTCTCAAGGTACGTTGCACATGTAGACTCGACTCTGGATGGGGGACTGACATGTTCTCAGAGTTTGCTGTGCAGGAAGCTCGTCGTAGTGTTTTTGGCTTTCTTTCCTAATACCGACAATGCACCTATAGAAACGGTATTATTATCCAAAACAAAAGAACAAAGGACCGTACATACTGATGATCCTCCTGCCATGCCCCTGCTTGATCATACTTTGCACTGCAGCACGCAAGCAGAGAAACGTCCCACGCACATTGGTGTTGAAGACCTCATCAAAATCGACGAGGGTAGCTATTGGGATACGATGACATCATGGAAACAGACCAAATATATGATTGGCTTACAGTCAACCACAGGCTTAACAACGATTTGTCCGGCATTCACTACCATCTAGAATACCATCCGTCAGACAGTTTGGTAGGTGGACAGCCCACGAGACACGTACAACGTCCAAACTGTTGAACTCTTGCTCTGTAGCCTGCACCATGCGCTGGACCTCCTCCTCTTGTGAAATATCACACTCCAAAACGAGACACCGCCTCCCTTTTGCCCTTACCTCATCTGCAATGCCGTCAAGATTCATGCACTGTGATTTCAAGTCAGCGATGGCAATGTCCAGTCCGTCCTCTGCGAGCTGCAGTGTAATAGCGCATCCAATGCCCTGGGCTGCGCCAGTGATTGTTACAACTTGGATGGTATCTGTTGGCGACGCTCAAACAGAGCGTGTGTTGTCAATGGTCGAGGACGTCCTTGGGCTAGCCCAAGGTTAGGGGTCTTACTTGGCGAGTTTCGGCAAGTAAGATTTGACGCCTATGTCCAAATCGGGTAGCTTATGTCAAGCGGGTGCGAGACGATAAGCTATATCGGCCTGGGCTTATGACACCCGAAGGTTAATCGTAAGATCATCGTTAATTAGAAGGACAGAAGTCCGACTAGTTAACAGGGGCTTTGCTTGTCGACGAAGTCGATGAGCAAAGATCGAGACTATAGGCTTATCCGCGAAGAGCAGATAAGAAGATAGAATATAGACTGCTGGCTAGGCAGAAAGGATCACTCTGGTGAGAGTAGGAAGTCAAGAACCAAGTAGATTCAAGTTAGGGAATATAGTACATGGTAGCGAGTTTATATAGAGGACAGGAGACGTATTAGTGGGTGATAACTCGTACTACCGGGAGAGGCAATCGGTAAAGGGTATAACCATAACAGGACGGCACGTTCGATCGAGGTAGAACGTGCTAGATAAGAAAGTGAGTCAAAGGTCGAAATAAGAAGTGAAACACGCAGGGGCACGATCGTGCAGCTGCGGATCTAAGTATAAGTCGCATGTGCGACTGCGCACCGAGTCAGAGATCAAGAAAGGGAAAAGGGCAAAGGGGATGCGTCGTGCATCAGATCATAGGTTACCGTCTGGACGGTTAAGGGCAAAGGGACTGTCCACAGGATCAGTCAGGTGGTGGAACGGAGCATGGGTATGCTTCGTCAGCGAAAGGATCCGGCCAGATGTACTGGCTCTGCTGGAGCGACAAGTAGAGGGCAAAAGGGAATGCGAGAATGACAAGGATGACCAGGGTAAGGTCGGGGTAAGGGTATGATGCAAGGGCTGATACGAGGAGGATCAGGAGAAAAATGGTAGGGGCCCAAGCGTCTAGATGTTCTTGTAACAGTGATGAGTGCAACGCGGGGCTGGTCTGTCTGTGCTGGTGTGGCGGAATCGACCATGATTCAAGTGTGGTAGTCTGCTAACCTGATCTTTACTTTATATCCTGCAGAGCAAGGAACCCCTGGAGCACCATCCCAACGCTGCCGTGTTCCCAATGCCCACTTACCCTTCGTGAGATCTCCTCGTCTTCTTCCCTCCTCCTACTCTCGTCTGTCGTCCGCACTTGTCCTGAGCCATGTCAGCAGTTGCTGATGTGCACTGGGCGTTTGTGCATGGTGTTCGTGGTGGAGCTCCAGCCCATCGTCTGCAAGCTTGGTAGAACCCAGTTCGAATGTGAACCGGACCTCCCGAACACATTTGGTGACATTCAGTCCAGGGTTCGACCAAACAGCTAAATTGAACCTATGGTTCGGTTTGGCATTCGGAAAATTTGGCCCAAGAACCAGACTGAGCCGGACTTCGGCAGCACTACACCAGTGGCAAAATGTGATGACAAAACTTCAAGTTTTGTCTGCAGATGAAATGAATTGCCCGATCATCACCCGCCCATTGCCCGCTCATAACTCACTCGTCACCTGCTTACCACCCAAACTCAATACCTCATGTATAACATTTTTAGATATGCGAGAATTCAAATATTCACTGTTATTTTGTATCTTTGTATTGTATTGTATTGTATTGTATTGTATTGTATTGTATCGGTTGTCATATATTATTACTACGAGTGAATATTACCGCTATATCAAACTAGGCACCATTCCCAGCAATGACCTTGCTTTTGGCACTCTGACACATCTTTGTCAACCAGGTGGTGAATAGGAAATTGCCAGTATTTGTTCGAGTGGACAATTCACAAAATTAACAAGCAAGGTGATATTATATACACATTCAAATTATTTTAATGGCCATAAGCACTTGTATTATTTACAGATGACAAAATCAAAAGCCTTGTGGCCCTGTGGTATGATTATGATGGCGTTGAGTTGAGATCTGCAGGGCTCTGAGTTCAGTCCCGCACTTGGGCAATTTTTCCTGTTTTTCATTCATACCTACAGATGTACATATACAATGTATGTATGATGTCACAAGTGCGAAAACCATATATAATATATGATGGGAACATTGGGTTAACAATTCTGAATTTAGATATCAGGATTACAAAATTTGTGGTCTGGCATGTAGTTATCCATGATATAACAGTGAATATTTGAATTCTTGCATATCTAAAAATGTTATACACGAGGTATCGAGTTTGGGTGGTAAGCAGGTGACAAGTGAGTTATGAGCAGGCAATGATCGGGCAATGAGCGGGCAATGAGCAGGCAATGGGCGGGTGATGATTGGGCGATTCATTTCGTCTGCAGACAAAACTTGAAGTTTTGTCATCACATTTTGCCACCGGTGTAAACTTCAAATTTTCAGGGTGTCTTAATTGTCAGACAAAACTTCCTAAATCAGCAGTCATATGGTCATGTCCCAAATTTCATGTTTTGTCTGCCGTTTAAGGTCTGAATTAAAATTTGAGCACACGCAGAAAATTGGATTAAATTGCTTATTATTATTAACATATAGTCGGTGGGAATATGGTTGCCAATGCTTGAAATTTTGTATGTCATCCAAAACATTACAAAAGTTTGAAGTTATGTCTCCATCTTTATGTCAGTTTAAATTTCAAATATTTCTTCACATTTGCTACAACATAAAAACATCTCCTAGATATCGATAACCCCGATGTGACGTCCGAGTCGTTTGTCGGAAAAAAGTTCCCAGGGTTGTGTGTGAAAGTTCACGGGACCAAAATACGTAATACCAAACTTGTCATCTTCCACCCTCACCACCAAAATGCCCATCACATCCCCGACGCTCGTCCCCCGCCCTCCAACCATCCCTCGTCCTCCCACGCGCACCCCAAGTAAACCAAACCCCACTCCCAAAACTTGATCGTTACCCGGGCGCATGGACACCCGACGCGATCTCCAACGCGTAATCGGCGACCTCTCAGACGAGGAGAACGAACTTGAAGATTCCGTACTTGCGCGCTCCTCGAGCCATATTTCTTACTAACACTCTACACACACATTATGTTTATATCGACGCGTGACCGACCGGAATAGAACTTGGTGATGAGGAATCGCGGGTTTCAGTGGCTCGTTCCTATTGGGCGATTCAGGCAGATTGGTAATGCGGTACCTACATCGCTGGCTCTGGCTCTCGGGAAGGCTTTTGGGGTGGCGATGTTCAAAATGTGGGATGCAGAGCCTAGCAGAGATGCGAGCCCGATTCTATGATGAAATTGATAGAAGGATTGAACATGTGTGTAGTTTCTCATCGCTGACGGCTGATTATACCTTGGTCATACCCGCATTGACATTCATAATACCTTCGGCGCCTGTGTGTTATGATTGATGTATAGTTGTTACATGGCGCACGTTGATTATATGGAAATGTCATGAGTGGAGTTGTCGAAATCAGGAAGTGCTTCCCGCGTCACATGAACGGACCCATACATACGTGGTTGCGAGACTATGTACGTAGCTGACTATGTTACACGGGTCAAACTCCAAGTCAAGTTGAAATTGTGATAATGATATGACGATTCGCCACCTGCCCCCTAGTGATTATTCTGTTCACTCAGCCTTGGGATAATCCTGCATCATACGCCTAAGCTCAACTTCTGGTACCCTCGGTTGGAATTCAATAGCGCATGGAACATTTGGCATGAAGGCCCCCGCGAACCCCATCATCCTGCGGCTTCGTAGGATCCAGATTGAGCTGGAAAGCCCAAAGAATAAGAAGCGAATTTATGAACACCGATCTGTAACATTTCAAATCAGATTCGGGAAATTATATGCGTAGAAAAAACCGTAACCTGTTCGCAACGTGTTGACCTGGGCATACGCTGGAAGGAAGGACAATCAAAGAAAGTGCATCGCGCAAGGTGGTGCTCACCGCCGACCAAACCCAAATACAAAGAATGTGAGATCGTCTCTCAAACGACCTTGGTCGTCAATCCAGCGCTGGGGCTTGAATGCATTAGGCTCGGGATAGACTTCTGGATCCCGAGAGATGGCCCTGAGGTGATGTCAACTCGGTATGTCGTGCTTGAAGGACGTCGACTTACCAATGATTGCCGAATACTGTAGTTCCAGCAGGAATGCAATAGTTTTCCTGCCGGCGGATGTCAGATTGTCCTCGCAGAACAAATTTATTTAAAGAGCACTTGCCCAAAATTACATCTTCAGTAGTTCGGTGAGGAAATCCTGAGAGGCAAATTGTGTAACTTCACGCGTATGACTGACTATTCAGAGACCTACCATCAGGAGCCAACGGTCTCCATCTCAGAGCCTCAGATATGAAGGCCTCCAGACGAGGAAGGGATGGTCTATCGTCGAAGGTCGGTGCTTTGAAGAAAAATGAATGATTTGATAGGACTGCGGTATATAGTCGAGTTACCTCGCTCCCTTCCGATGACTGCATCAAGCTCGGCCTGCACTTTAGCTTGCTCTTCAGGGAAGCGTGCAGCCGCCATCAGCACTATGCATATCGCCGTAGCGGTCTGACACCTTATCTCAGCGTCTGCAATCGTCAAAACAGAAAGACGCCTTACTGTTTCGGTCCCTGCTCCAAAGAAGCCGCCAGCAAGATAAGCCATCTCTATCTCTGTCAAACCATAGAGTTGTCCATTTTCTAGAATGTGTTTGAAAACGAAGGGCCGCTATCCTCATTGCTTTGCTGTAGAACGACTCAGAGATCATGTGAAGATACGCAACCAATGCGTACCATGTGCAGTTTCACACGATTCAGCTGGTCTGTGTAGAGTCGCGTAGCCCTCTTGGACTCGTCTCTTAATTCTGGCGCATACCAAGGAAGGTATTTGAGCCACGGTATCGTGTCCACCCAGTAGGCACCGGGGCGCAGGAGTGTACGAAAGCGCGACATGAGCTGACGAACCTCTCTGACTTCGGGATCAGTTGCTGACGTCGGCGTGGTCTTCCCATATGCAACTTTCAAGATTGTCGCTGCAGCAAAGCTTTCGAGAGCTCGTAAGTAACATCCTACTACGAGACCCTGACATCACACGTAGGAA